CATGCTCTTTCTCCCCCCACGTAAACGCTACTCTCTTCCGTAGTGAGTCTGTCATGTCGCGGACGAACCCACAGACGTAATTAACAAACCCTAAAAACACTCTACAACGTGATCTTGTTCGAGGGACGACACGCTTCAGGTCATTTTCGACTTCAACCTCGGAAATCACATGCTTCAAAAACTCTATCCGGTTCTGAAAAAAATCGCATTTCCATCCCTTTGTCAGTAGGTGGTTTTCGTATAAATTTTTTAACACTGCTTCTAAACCTGTTAAGTGCTGCTGCTTGTCGCGGCTGTAGACCAGTATGCGGTTGAGGTAAACTATGATGCATTTATCTAAAAGCAGCCTGAACACCTCATTCATGGTCATCTGAAAAGTTGCAGTTGCGTTGGTCAGTCCGAAGGACGTGACTGTGGACTCGAAAGATCCGTACCTAGTTTTAAAATCTGTCTTGCCGCAGTCTGACGTTTCGACTCTAATCTGGTGGTAACCTCCCCTTAAGTCAGTCTTTCAAAACACGCAGGCTGTTCGCAGTTGATCTATCAATTTGTCAGCGCGGGGGATGGGGTATCCCGACTCGATGGTTACCCTATTCAGTGCGCGGTTGTCAATGCACATGCGAAATTCGCCGTCTTTTTTCGGAGTGAACAGTATCGGTGCGGCAAACGGTGTCGAGCTCGGTCGGATTTTTTTTCTCTAACAGGTAAATTAACTACTTCTTCCATTCGTCAAGATGGGACTGTGACAGCCTGAACTGTCACTGTAGAGTTGGTTGCGCCTCCTGTTCTAACTTTATACGGTGGTCGTGTGCTTGCTGAGATGGCAACCCTTCCGGTAAGTCGTCCAAAAAAATCCCCGGGTACCGTTTCAACAGTTCAACAGTAGTTCAGGCAATACAGCTGCTAAAATTTTCTTAAAATCGCTCGGCGCCCCTGCTTTTGCCACCACCGCGATATCTACTACGTACATGTCAGCTAGAGAGGCGACAGCCCGTTTCATCGTGATGACGTTAACATGGACCGTTAAAGACTCAGGCGACTACTAGCGAGGTAGCTCGACCCAGTTACCACTATTTCGCACGGTGCAATTACCCGTCATCCGGTCAATTCGCGGGTTGTAGCGTCGCAGCCAATCACGTCCCAGTAAAATGTCTTTTCTATCTAGTGTCGTCGCAAGCATTTCCTGTGTAGACTAGAAGTTTCCCCCGCCACGGACTTTAACTCTCTCCATTCTCCCGTATGGCCAATTGCGTGCCGTCAACTAAACGCGCGTCTGTCCCCGGTAAGGAGCGATCAAGTGTCAGTTGTAGTTGCACTACGGTCGCAGTTTTAACTAAGCTCTGGCTTGCCCCTCCATCTACGAGAATCTTCACTGCTTGCCCCTATATTTTCCCGTCGTATTGGGCAATCCGTCATTGTACCTCCCTTATTCATCCGACTCCGATTGATAGCGTGAATCGGTACGGTGACTCCGTCAGAATCGGTGAGGTTGGCCTAGAAGGTTGTCTCGTCAGTAATTGGCCCGATTTCTACTGCCTGTTGGCGTTTCCTTGCCTCTAAAACTCCCTCCCCTGCTCTTCTCCTCGGCGCCTTAGCTCCGCTGGGCATTCTCTCTTGCGACGTCCTGAGCTATTGCAACCAAAGCAGCGCCTCTTGAATGGCGCAGCAGCTGCGTTCACCGCAAGGGCGTGTACGGTGGCGTGCTCGATCAGTCTCCAAAGACGATGTCCGTAGTAGGACCCCGGTCTCGGATGGCATAGGATATCAATTTTCTCCGTAAGCGCGAGAATCTCATGGAAGTTAGAGAGCCTGCGTAGCATGATTTCGTGCGAAATGTCTGGCTTCAATCCGCCGGCGTAACGGTCCACCCGCTCCGCCTCGTGCATGTAGCCGACTTGCTGGCATTGAGCGAGAAAACCGCTGGTGTAGTCTTGAACTAACCCGAGCTGCCGCCAAGTGCGCAGTTTCTAACGCACCGAAATTGAAGCCGAAATCAGCTCAAAGCGCGCCCGAAGCCCCGCGCATTACACTTCCAACTTGCTGTACTGGCCGGTTTTGGAGAACGAACTCCAGATGGCCCTGTGAGCTCTCCCTCTTGCGACGGCGGCTTGTAGGTGCGTGGCGACGTTACGGTAACTCGCCACTAGTCCTTGGCGGGGCCTTGTAGCAGCGAAACGGCGTATTGAAACTTTGTTGCATCCGACGTGACGTAATTAGCTTCGAAGTAGACGTTTATCGTGAAGACCCATAATTGAACTGTTGCACCTCCGCGCTGGCGGAGAACTGTTGGGCGGGCGTTGCAGCTTGAGCGGCATTGGCTCGCCGATGTCGTCGTTGCCTGCGGACGCCATAAATCCGACGTGACGTCGGGCTTCGCTAGGTGCATTCTCAGTCAGAACGACCCTGGTTCTCGCCATGCCAGGCATCGACTGGGCAGCGCCATTACTGGCTGCGTCTGAGCGCTATCCCACGCTGTCGTGTTGTGATTTTGTGCTAGACAATATGACAATCGGCTCTTCCATTTGTGCATGTGCACTTTCAAGCATTTGTGTTGGTGTTGGTGCATTTGTCATTGATCGCCGTCGGGCGGAATTGAGTTCCGCCGTGAGCGTCGCGATTTCAAGCTCCGAATCTTTGAGTTGGCGCACGAGACGGTCGAACTGTTCCTATGTCAATGTCGCGACGTTGAATTCGGCCATGGCGGGGGTGTTGGACTAGCTCAGCGGGAGCCTCGGTCGTGGCAATGCGTGCCTACGATATACCACTTTGAGCGGCGGTGCTTGTTCGCTGAGAGGCGTCCACCCCCTCCAAAAAAATGACATGGTGTGGAAGCGAAGGGGTGGGTCCGGTCGGATAAGAGATAATAGGCTCTGAATATCAAGTGTTACAGATGCAACTGAGCGAGCGATCGATAATTGCACTATCGAAACAAAATAGTACGTTGAGCGAAGGCATGAGCAGGAGCTATATAGCAAAGGCCACACTGAGGTTGGGACTGAGGTCGGGAATTGTCGAAGCGGAGGCTTAGAGTGTAGGTTACCAGCCGAGCCGTGAGGTTGGGTTGCGATGGGTGTAATGGTGGGAATGCGGTCAAGGCCAGTGTCGCGAATGGTAACGGTGCACATTTTGGCGAGAATTGTGATGTACGCGTTAAGTAGGGATGCGGTGGAAGGAAAGGAAATTTCATTAAATATACCAACTAGCTTGCATACACAACAAAAACATCTTAACGTATTTGCCTGAATATACATATAATAAGATATAAATTTTTGGAAGTTTGGAGAGTGCTGGTGCCAGGTCAAGGCGTTCACGTTATGCAGCATGGTTTCCTTTTTCGTGAGATGTTCAGAGTACAAGTTAATCAATAGGGGGGGGGGGCAAAATAGTATAGATGGCGTTACATGGTACGTTACATGTATGTGTTACCACCCTACGAGTTTGTTCGCAGGTGTAGTGTGTAAATGGCGGCGCTTTCCGCGCGTTGATGCCGCGCATTCGACAAAGAGTCTGTCACCTCGAGCTTGGCGCGCTGGATGCCACGTGGATCTTGAGGTGTCTCGAGGAGTCTTCTGTTGAATGCGAAAAGTTTTGTTCCGGAAGTTGTATTGGGCCAGGGAAAACTGGACAAAGAACATTGAAAACCAGTTGCAGCGCTGTATTTTGTTTGCCCCAACCTGATTTGCAGAGGTTATACGTAAACATTCACGTGTTTCGCCCTAATCAAGAGTGGGTGCATTCGTGTACTGTACAGCACACAGACAAACCTCTCTGGTCTCGTAATTTGCCGAAGCTGTTGGTTTGGTTTTGGCCCAAGCGGTTCCCCAAACGAGGAGCAGCAGTGACGGCGTAGTGGTGGTGATCATGGGCAGTGGTGTATTTCTGGTTCCCCCTCAGGAATCCGAGTCGCGATGTGGTTCGAGGCCCCGCTTGCCCTCCCTGCCTGTGGGTGACAGATTCTCGCAAGGGCGGCGCAGTAGCAGCACCAGTCGCCTAGGCCCTGCGCGGCTTTCCGAGGCCCTGGTGCGCTGCGCCTGACCAAAATCACCAGGAGGTACGGACCGAGGTTCGTGTCGTGTCTGTCCAGTGGATTTTGCGTGGTGTCGGTTTGGTAAGGGAAGGTTGAGGTGAGGGAGGTCGCGCCGTGCCGCTGGTTTTGAGCCTCACTTGCTTGGCTCGTATCATGGTTGGGTGCAGAGAACGAACACCACTCCCTCCATCACACAACCACACCAACTTCCAGTGGTTCGGCTATCCCCAACCAATACAGTACCCTTCACGGGCAAGCGATAAATGAATCACAACGACCAGGGCAACGCAGAGCAAATCGCCAGCCTGCACAGCAGCAAATCGCTGCTTTTCCCGAGAGGTGGCGAACGCGTCCGGTCAGAAGCCCAGGGGATGCAGTTTTGGAATCCCCGAGCCTTAGGTTTGGCAAGAACCAGGTCAGAAACTTGGCCCGGGACCCAAGCCAAGACGAGCAAGGTATGGTGCTGAACTCGGTGGAGCACCATACCAAAACAGACCATATCGCTTGTCTGCTGCGGCGGACCTGCGCGCGCGGGTCAGAGGCGGCGGCGGAGCAAGAAAACCATTTCCAAGGAAAGAGACGCGAAGGAGGCTAGCAACCCAAAAGCAGTCGCCCATCCGTCCACGTCTTCCCCATTCACCCCTCGCCTCACCCACTCACCCCGCCAGTGCCACCACCCGCCATACCTCCCCCTCGTGTTCCAAATTCCACATCCAAGCTTGGGCTAGCAGCTCTGTTGGTAAAGCCGTTGATCCAGCCCCTTTTAGAGAGATCTTGTGCTTGACTTCATGTTTGAAAAATGGATTCGAGGCAAGGTAGTGAATTTAGCATGGCAGCAACAGCAACCGTAGCTGGAGACGCAGCAGGAATTGCACCTCCCAAATAGGCTCCCATCCCAACATACAGCAGACTAAGCTCCACTCTCTTTCTTCCTTCAGCTCATCACCTTGGCCCCAGCCACGAGCCGTTCTTGATGCCGTACCTTTATCGCGCCGATCACTCGTGCTTCCCCCTTTATTAACGACTCTTCGAGTGCGCTAGCACAAACCTCGTGCAAACAGCACCAAACAAACTTCACAAACACCACTCAGCACCACCGAACTCACTCCCTACCCTCCGCATCCTCCTCGTCGTCGTTTCAGATACAATCCATCGACTTTCTGACCGACCTGGCAAATCCCACTCCCGAATCCTTTCCGCCACCCTGCCGGAAGCCTTTGGACCGTACTAACCGCGAATCAACCACCAGTTCACGTCACCTCGCGCCGCCTTCTCCGCCTGCACTCCACATAGTCCATTCCGCTCCTCATCAGCAGCGCTAGCGAGTGATGCGTTTGCAGTGTGGGCGCCCGCTAGTTAAGCGGCGTCGGTTCGGCTCGGTTCGGCTCTGGTAGACCCAGCTGCTCGACGAAAAAAGGGCAGCGCATCGACAGTCGCGCGCCGCGCGGATAACGCGTCATCAGCGCGACAGTTGAGTGGATAGCACGTCGCCGCGTGGCAGCGCAGCAGCAGGACCACTAGCTTCGAGCAGGCCACTCGCAGGTTATCGTGAACGGTTCAACCGAAGAGAGGAGGAAAGCGGTTGTGTAGTAGTCACAGGGGCGATTAAGACCTGCGACCAGTGCGCCCACGTGTGCAGGTTCTAGCGGTTCGGACGACTCGTGAGGGAGTGAGGAGGAGAGAAGGAAGGAGCGTAGAGGGAAGGAGAGGAGAAGAGAGGGGAGGAGAGAGAGGAGAGGAGAGTGAGCCGAAAGGTAGATTCTGTTTAGAGGCGGGTTATTTAGTTGACAAATTGCGGCGTAGGTCGCTAAGGGGTGCTTCGAGAATTCTCCACTACCAGCCAGCGACTAAGCAGCTCCTGTTTTCTCCGAACCTTCCTTTTTCCGAAGAAATCTCCGGCGTCCCCTTTCCCCACCATCCCCGCGCGCTGCTGTTTGCATCACCATCTGCAGCGGTGGCGGCGTCCGCGGAGGTTCCGTTGGCGGTGCCAGCGGCGTCGGAAAGTGCGGCGGTTGCGGCGGCGGCGGCGGCGGCGGCGGCGGCGGTGGCGGTGCGGGCGGTGACGGTACTATGTCCCGCAAGGTGACGCAGGTGTCGGGTATTCTGGACGTGCATGTGATGCAAGCGGAGGGACTGAAGAACGTGTGCTTGTACGGACCCCAGGACGTTTACGTTAAGATCCTCTGCGGCACGCACGACGACTCGCAGGGCCGCGTCGCGCTGCATACCAAGACCGTGAAAGCCGGCGGCTCGAACCCCATATTTAACCAGCGACTACAGGTTAGAACAGGGAAGGGAGGAAAAAGGGAGAGGGGGATAAAGAGGGGGGAGGGGAGGGGGGGAAAGGCCGCAGAAGTCGCGGCGACGAAGAGTCGTGGCAGGAGTATAGGTGTGCGCTGGTGGTTCTGGTGGAACTTACGGTGTGATATAGTGGAATTTTGTAGACTTCTCATTCTGTCCTCTTGGCCTCCTCCGTACCATTCCGCTTGACCTTCCCTTTCCTCCTCCGCCTTCCCTTCCTCTTCCCCCTTCCCCTCCCCTTTCCGCGGAACCCTGTGCTGCGCCCGCGCGCCCGTACCAGGTAGGCGTGCAGGAGCGCCACGTGGAGGTGAAGTGCGAGATCTGGGCGGCGAGCCACAACCGCGGCACGGCAGACGACCAGCTCATCGGCTTCGTGCACGTGCCTATTTACAAGTGAGTGCGCTCGCGCGCTACTTTCCCCGGTTCCCTCCGCCTCCCCGCTCCGCCCTCTCCCTTTCCGTCTCGTGTTGAGGCGTCTCAAACGACGACCAGCTTATCGGCTTCGTGCACGTGCCCATCTACAAGTGAGTCCGCGCGCGCTCTCCGCTCCGCCTTCTCTCCCCCTTCTCTCCGCCCTCCCGCTCCGCCCTCTCCCCTTTCCGCTCCGCCTGCGATCCTCCGCCTTCAGGGTGCTCTCCCCGCGCCAAGCTGTCCGCTCCGCCTCCTCCAATCCGCCTCCTCCGCTCCGCCTCCTCCGCGCGTGCTGCTCCTTCTTCATGCTCGTCAGTCTTCTGAAGAGATTCCTTCCATTATGCCACACCGTTGAGTATTCGTCGAAACCATTATGCTTCGGAAGTTTTCTTTCCTCGCGTCTCCCTGGTCTCCCATCGCTATTCCTTCCCGCCGCCATTCCTCCCCCCGTCCCCTTGCCCTTCCCCCTCCTCGCCCCCCTCGCCCCTCTCCTTCTCACCCGCTCCCCCTCGATGTGCCGTTCATCCTCTCATTCTTCCCCATTTTCTCCCTTCCCCCCCCTGCTCGCCTCGCTTCCCCTCCCCCCGCCCTTCTCCCCACCCCCCGAATCCCCTCCACCCCCGCGCCCATCCCCCAGAGACTCTTCCGACAAGGCCAAGGGGCAGACTATCCGCGAGTTCCCCCTCCGCCCAGTAGACGGCGACGCGGGGGCAGCCTCCGCGGGGGTCATCCGCCTTGCGCTCTCTTACCATCCGCGCCCCTCCTCTTCCGCCGCCGCGTCCTCCGCCCTCCCCATCCGAGGACCGCCCGGCGGAGGCATCTTGGGCCGCGCGCTTTCCGCAGCCTTCTGCCGGATCGCCAGCGACAAAGCGGGCGCGGGGAGCAGCAAAGCGAGCGGAGCGGGCGGCGGCAGCGGCGGCGGCGGCGGCGGCGGCAGCAGCGGCGATTCCCGCAGTGACGGCAGCGAGCGCGGGAGTAGCAGGGGCGCGCGGGGTTGTTGCGGCGGTTGGCGGAAGCATTAGCGGTTGGGGAGAGGCCAGTGCAGCAGGGACCGGCGGCTTCGGGGGAATCGGGGGAGGAGCAAGCGCAGTAAGCGCGGTAGGGGCAGGGGCAGGGGCGCAAGCAGGGGCGCAAGCAGTGGCGCAAGGGCATTTTCAGGCGCAAGGTCCGGGGCAACCGGCGGCGGCGCTAGAGGCGCAAAGCGCAGCCCGCGGGAGGCAAGCGCAAAGCGGCTCGCGGTTTCCGCATCTGCAGTCGCAGCAGTCGCAGCAATCGCAGCCGTCGCAGCAGTTGTTGTCCCAGCAGCAAGGAATCTTAGGGGGCTCGCTAGGAGGTTCCGTGTCATCCGGTCTAGACTTAGTTCAGGCTTTAAGAGCAGTTGCGGAGGTCGATAGGGCTGGACTCGTAGGCGCGGGCGGAAAGAAGAAGGCCAAATCCGGACCGATTATCTCGGGCGGAATGGAAGTGTGTGGCGGAGCGGGGAGCGCGGGGATCGGCGGGACTCTGGCGGCATCCGCGGGGCTCGGCGGAACGTTCAGCCCCGGGTTCGGCGGAGGCACGGCGGCCGGGGGGGCGAACAGCAGCGCAAGCGCGGGGGGGATGTTCGGTGGCGGCATGGGGAGAGGCATCGGGGGAGGCATTGGCGGGGGAAGCGCGCACACTCACGCGCACGCGCTGGCGCAGCAGCTTCCGCACGGAAAGCCCAAGGCGAAGTCCGGACCGCTGCAGCACGTAGCGGAAGGGAGCGCGGCGGGGGGAGGCATAGGGAGAAGCGGCCCCGCGACAGGCTGGGTAGGCTTGGGGGGGAGCGGGGGAGGCGCAGGCGCAAGCACGGGCGTTGCCGCGGGGGAGCTGCTGGCTGGCGCGTTTGGCGGAGGGGGGATCTTCGAAGGGGTGGCGGAAGGGGCGTGGGGATCCGACGCGTCTGTGCTCTCCGCGATTCTGCTGCGCGACGGGCTCCTTCCGCCGCGCGCGGTGGGGCTGGCGCAACAAGCGGCGGAGGGAGGGGCATCCGCTGGGGGAGGGGGGAGGAGAGAAGGGTCGCTGGGGGCGAATCCGCTCCCCGCGCGCTTCTCAGGGCTGTCCAGTGTGGGGGAAGGGGAAGGAGCAGGGGGGGAAGCGGGGACAGCGGGAGGGGGGGCGGGAATAGCAGGGGGAAGTGGTGGGGGAGCGGTAGCAAGCAGCAGAGGTGGCTTGGGCGGAACAGCAGCGTCAGGCGGAGGCGGAGGCGGAGGAGGAGGGGAGAAGGTAGCCGGAGCAGGGATTGCCGCCCCTCGCGTTCCTCCCCTGTCAGCTGTTGCTGCGGCCGCGTCTGGCGCTGCTGGTGCTGCTGGCTCTTCTGTGCGCTCGCAGCAGCAGCACCGGCAGCAGCAGCAGCACCACAGAGAGCAGCAGCCGCACCACCACCACCATCACCAAGACGCCGTTACTGCTACTCCTGCTGCTGCTGTTACAGCAGTTGCTGTTACTGCTGTTCCAGCCGCCAGCTCCGGAATGGGTCCCAGCATCCTATCTGGCATACCACCTGGGATTCCACCTGGCATGGGAGGCCACAGCCAGCTCTCCCCTGAGCTGCTGACTCTGTGGGAAACACCTGACGCTGTTGCCATGGAAGCTGCCTGGTCTCCCCCCCACGGCCCCTGGCAGGGCGTTTATCATCATACCTCCTCTCTAGCCGCTGCTTCCCCCACTGGCAGCGCGGGGGGGGCGGGGGGGATGGAGGGCGGGGGGAGGGGGAGGGAGGACGGGGAGGGCAGCGAGCAGAGCGCGGAGGAGGTATCGTCCACGCAGAAAAGGGCGTGTGGCGCGGGGGAGGCGGGGAGGGGGGGGATGGGGGAGGAGTGCTGCGCGGATGGCGGGTTTGGGGGGGAATGCGGGGCGTGCGGGGGAGGCGGGGTGACTGGGGGAGGGGATGGGGGAGGGCGCGGGGACGAGTGTAGCATGCATAGAGCTTGTGGAGGCGGGGGAGGAGGTGGAGGCGGAGGCGGAGGGGGAGGGGGAGGCGGAGGGGGAGGGAGAGGGATGGGAGGTGGCGGTGTGGTGGTGGAGGGGTCGTTCTTTGAGACGTGCTCCCCGGATCGATTCTTGCAGTCGCCTCCGCGGGGAATGGGGGGAGCAGCAGGCATGGAGGAGGGCGAAGGGGACTGCCACATGGGCGGCAGCGGCGGTGGCGGTGGTGGGAGTAGTAGCGTGCAAGAGAGGACCGGGACAGTGGGGGCAGATGGACGGAGGAGCAAGGCGGGAGCGGGAGGGAGAGGGAGAGGGGTGGGTGGTGGTGCGGGGGAGTGGAGAGTGGCGGAGAGCAGAGGCGAGGGCGGGAGACTGTTCCGCATGGCCATGCCTGATGGGTTTGACACAGAGGGGTGGGGCTCTGTAGATGATATGGATATGTCTGGCGCTGATGGGGGCGGGGAAGGGGAGGGCGAGGGGGAGGGGGAGGGGGGAGGTGGGGAGGGTGAGGGAATTGAGGTGGAGGGGGAGGAGAGGGGAGGGGTGTACGGGGAGGGGGGGCATCTGCTTGTGTATGTAAGCTCGGATGCGAGTGCTGATGGTGGTGTGTATCAGAGACACACAGCAACAGCAGCAGCAGCAGCAACAGCAACAGCAGCAGCAGCAGCAGCACCAGGCGCAGGTGGCCAGGGACAGCAGCAGCAGCAGCAGCAGCGGCAGGGGGGGTGTCCTCCCCAGCGCTACCACCAGCGCCAGCGCCAACGCCGATGCCATCTCCCGCTCTCACTCCTGCAACGCCTGTGCCCTCGCCTGCACTCGCACCTGCACCTGCCCCTCGCCTGCTCCGAATGCCCTTTCAGAAACTTCTGGAAGACGAGCAGCAGCAGCGGCAGCAGCAGCAACAGCAGCAGCTGCACCAGCAGCAGCAACTGCAGCAACAAATGCAGCTGCAGCAGCAGTTGCAGTTGCAGCACCTCTTGCAGCAGCAACAGCAGCAACAGCAGCAGCAGCAGCAAGAGCACGAGGATATGGACGATGGGTATGGCGTTGGCAGTGGCGGTGGCGGCGGCAGCAACAACCCCAGTTGGAGGGGCCGAGTGCAACTGCTACAGCTCCCCTCAAGCCTCATGGGGGGCAACGCATGGCTCCCTGCCGCAGCCTCCGGGGCCGCTGCTGCTGGTGTTTCTGCTTCTGCTGCTGCTACCGGTGCAGCCATGCATGGGATGCAGGGAGGGCAGGGAGGGCAGGGAGGGCAGGGAGGGCAGGGAGGGCAGGGAGGGCAGGGAGGGCAGGGAGGGCAGGGAGGGCGGCAGCAGCAGCAGCAGCAATTCTCTGGGCCTCTGGAGCCACACATACCAGCTGCACTCACGAGCAGCATCGGGGGCAGTGCAAGCGAAAGCACGGGAGTAGGAGGAGGAGGAGGAAATGCGAGCGGAACGAGCAGCAGCATGCGGCATGCATCTCTCGGCCACCGGGTGCTGTCAGCATCGCAGCCCCTCCCTCCGCCTCCACACACACTCTCTCTCTCTGCTGCCTCCGCACACCCCACGCCTCTCTCCTTCTCCGCCCCGCTCTATGCTTTGCCTGGCCAAGGGTCGATGCAAGCAGCTGCAGGAGCAAACGCGCTCGCAGCAAACGCTGCAGCCACTGCCTCTGCTGCCGCTGCTGCGGGTGCTGCTGTTGCAGGGCCTGCTGTGCCCCTTCCTGCGGCTCCCCAGTCGTCGCGCTTTGCATCGGTGCTCCAACCCATGTGGACGGATGATGATGGGTTTGATGGGGATGGGGATGTGTTATGGGGGGCAGGAGGGGGGTGTGGAGGAGGTGGGGGAGGGATGAGTGGAGGACGAGGAGGTGGGAGGTTTGAAAGCGGGCGAGGTGAGGGGTTGGTGATGCCCCATGCTTCTCAATTCTCCCAGCAGCAGCACCAGCAGCAGCAGCAGCAGCAGCAGCATTTTTCGCAACAGCTGCAGCACCATCACCAGCACCACCCACAGCATCAGCAGCAGTTGCTACATCAGCAGAACCACCACCATCACCACTACCAGCAGCAGCAACAGCTAGCCCACTTGCAACAGCAGCACCAGCAGCAGCAGCCAGGGCAGCTGCAGTTACAGCAGCACCATGCCTCGCGCCGTGCAGTCACTCCCAATGCTGGCAGCACTGCCATGGAGGCCATTTGATTTCGCATCAAACAGTTCCCTTTGCACCCCTTTCGCTCTTTTCCTCTTCGTTCAACTTCTACTCCCCATCCATCCCACCATCCCCCCTTTCTTCCCACTCCCTCCATTGCCCCTCACACTCCACACTCCTCACCTCTTCACTGTTTGCTGAACCTGCCCATCAGTATCTCATGCCACAAATATTTTTCTTGAGCTAGGCTTGGCACCTCGTGAGCCTGCTCCTACCAAGTGGCTAGGATGTGTCCAAGTTGTGTGTGCGTGTGATATGCTGGAAGTGATTCAGCCTTGTGTACGCTGGACCACCACCAATGGTACTGTATTGGGACCTTTTTTTGGATATGTTGTTTTACCTCAAAGTGTCAGGTTCTTATTTATATCATACATTTGCCTTCCAACTGTGATGGTAGTTTCCATCCAGCACTGGTAATTAGGGAAAATATGCCACAAGTAACAATCATGTGACCCCGTCACGTCAATGGTAAAAAAAAAATGCGTACGGTAACTGTATCGGGTATCGTGACGGGCTTGGTAAGTGGGGTCACGGAATCAGTCACTAGCAACAGCTAAAGAATCACGCGAATGGTAACACATGAAACTCCCGCCTGAAATTCCTGAAACCCGGCCGATTTCCCGCTCGCGCCAACTCGTGCGGAGAGGTTTGATGCACGCCTGTACCGTCGAGCCTCCAGCCCACCGTAACCACACCACGACCCGACGTGCTGTACACCCCCCTGCCTGATACGGTTCCAACCAAGTACAGAGGCTTGACCCCAGCGGACCTCTCTAACTCACCTCCCGCCATCAGCTATTACTCACGCTATTACTAGTAGCTATAGCTTTCGCCAGCTGCCTTCCCCGTCACGCATCCAAGGCATTCGTTAGCAGCACCTGACGTCTATCAACGGTGCGTGCCTTAGCCCAAAAGCCTTTTCCCATCCGTACACGTTTAGTCCCATGTTACTCGAAGAAAAGTAATGATATACATTAAGAAAAATAAAAAAAACTCGATCAGACCGCTGTCGCGAAGCGCCCAGCGGCCGGCGCGCCGCTCCGCGCATCGCGCCTATCGGGCCCGATCGCCGCTCGACGCATCGAGACGATCAGGAGCAGCCGCCGCCGCGATGCGCATTGCGGCCAGCTTTTGGCCGCTCCGCGCATCGCGCCGACCGGGCCGCCGCCGTCGCGATGCGCAATGCGGCCAGCTTTTGGCCGCTCCGCGCATCGCGCCGACCGTACCGCCGCCGTCGCGATGCGCAATGCGGCCACCCTGCTGGGCGCATCACGACGATCCGCCACCGTGATGCGCAAAGCCGCCGCTCAGCGCGTCGCGCCTCTCTGGCCACCGCCGAGGCCATGCACTCTCGTCTAGCCTCCCCTTCCGTGCTCTCTTTTCTCCTACCCATCTTTCCCCACTCCCTCGCACCCCGTGTCATCCCCGGCCAAAGCCTCGCTTACGTCAACTCCCTCTCTCGTGCCAGGCTTTTCTTTTATGTTGTCTCGTGCCTGGCTGCTCTCTAGTCCCCTCTAGTTACGTTGAGTCTCCTCTCCATTCCTCTCGCACACCCCCTCTCATACACACTCATCCCCTCTCCATCCCTCTCGCTCACCCCCTCTCATACACACTCATCCTCTCTCATACAATGTCATCCCCTCTCGTTCGCTTTCATCCCCTTTCATCCCCTCTCATTCCGTCTCATACACGCGCATACACTCTCATCCCCTTTCATCCCCTCACACACGCTTATTCCCTTTGATCCCCGCTCATTCACTCGCATTCACGCATATCACCGCTCATTCCCAGGCATCCACTCTCATTCCCTCTACTTCCCTCTCATTCCTTCTCATCCACTCTCATTCCCTCACAGCCCCTCTCAGCCCCTTTCATCTCCTTTCATCCACTCTTCATTCCCTCTCATACACTCTCATACACTCTCATACACTCTCATCCCCTATCATACACTCTCATCCCCTCTCATATACTCTCATCCCCTCTCATCCCCTCACACACACTCCCGTTCCCTCTCATCCCCGCTCATTCACTCTCATTCCCTCTCATTCCCTCTCATTCCCACGCTTTTCCTCTCATCCCTTCTCATCCCCTCTCATTCACTCTCATTCACTCTCATACACTCTCATACACTCTCATCCCCTCACATACACTCTCATACACTCTCATACACTCTCAACCACTCTCATCCACTCTCCTAAACTCTCATACACTCTCATCATCCCTTATCATACACTCTCATTCACTATCATACGCTCTCATCCCCTCTCATCCCATCTCACTCCCTCTCATACACCCTCATACCCTCTCGTACCCGGGCATATACACTCGTATACACTCTCGTCCACCCTTATACACTCCCATACACTTATTCACTCTCATCCCCTCGCATCCACTATCTTATACACTCTCATCCCCTCTCATATACACTCATACCCCCTAATCCGCTCTCATCCACAATCATACACTTCCATACACTCTCATTCACACTCATCCCCTCTTATCCCCTCACATCCCCTCTCATACACTCTCATTCCCTCTCATGCACACTCATCCCCTCTCATACACTCTCATACACTCTTGTACACTCTCATACCCTCCCATCCATTATCATATACACTCTCATCCCCTCAGTCTCTCCCGTACACACTCATACACTCTCATCCCCTCTCATTCAATCTCCTACACTCTCAGACACTTCCATCCCCTCATACACACACATTCAGTCTCGTACAGTCTCATTTCCTTTCATCCCCTCTCCTCCTATCTCACACACTCTCATCCCCTCTCATCCCCTCACACACACTCCCGTTCCCTCTCATCCCCTCTCATTCACTCTCATTCCCTCTCATTCCCTCTCATCCCCTCTCTTTCCCTCTCATCCCTTCTCATCTCGTCTCATTCACTCTCATACACTCTCATCATCCCTTATCATACACTCTCATACACTCTCATCCCCTCACATACACTCTCGTACACTCTCAACCACTCTCATCCACTCTCCTAAACTCTCATACACTCTCATTATCCCTTATCACGCACTCTCATTCACTCTCACACACTCTCCTCCCCTCTCATCCCATCACATTCCCTCTCATACACTCTCATACTCTCTCGTACCCACTCATATACACTCATGTACACTCTCAACCCCTCTTATACACTCCCATACACACTGATACACTCTCATACACTCCCTTTCACTCTCGTGCACTCTCATCCCTGGTCATCCCCTCTCATCCCCACTCGTCCCCTCTCATCCCCTCTCATCCCATCTCATACACTCTCACACAGTCTCGTACACTCTCTTACACACTCTCATACCCCATCCACTCTCATACACTCTCAACCCCTCTCAACCTCTCTTGTACACTCACATACACTCACACTCCCTCTCGTCCACTAGATTATACACTATCGTGCACACTCATGCGCTCATACACCCCCTTTCACTCTCATACACTCCCATCCCTTCTCATCCCCTCTCATCCCCTCTCAGCCCCCTCATCCCCTCTCATCCCCTCTCATACGCACTCTTACACTCTCACAATCTCTCATACCCTCTCTTACACACTCTCATCCCCCCTCATCCACTCTCATACACTCTCAACCCCTCTCATCCTCTCCCATACAAACTCATACACTCTTATTCACTCTCATCCACTCTCATCCACTAACTTAAACACTCTCATCCCCTCTCATACACACTCATACCCCCTAATCCGCTCACATCCACTATCATACACTTCCATACACTCTCATTCACACTCATCCCCTCTTTTCCCCTCTCAGCCCCTCTAATACACTCTCAACCCCTCTCAAACACACTCATCCCCTCTCATACACTCTCATACACTCTTGTACACTCTCGTCCCCTCCCATCCACTACCATATACACTCTCATCCCCTCATGCTCTCCCGTACATACTCATACACTCTCATCCCGTCTCATATACTCTCATACACTCTCATCCCCTCTCATATACTCTCATTCCATCACATACACTCTCATTCCCTCTCATACACTCTCATACACTCTTGTACACTCTCATCCCCTCTCATCCCCTCTCATCCCCTCTCATCCCCTCTCATCCCCTCTCGTACCCTCTCATCCCCTCTCATCCCCTCTCATATGCTCTCATACACTCTCTTGTCTATGTGACTTTCTCTCTTGTCTCCTAATCATGCCCCTAACTCCTGAAAGTCTCTCAATTTTGTCCCTTACATTCTCTCTTATGCACAATACTACACCTTATATCCGCATGGTCTTATTGTCCAACAGAGCTTGAGGCGGTCTTGAGGAAGAACATGTTTCGCCTCATACGTTCAAGGTGAGAGGTTGAGGTTGAATACAAATGTTAACCATCATACAAGCTGAAGTGCCTTGTTAGCATCAACCATCGTTTATTTCCAAACAAGAATTTGACAAATAACTGACAAAATTCCGTGTGGTACCCCTCCATCCGTTATCTTTTGGTCCCGTAGCAATTTTGATGTGCAGGAAGATGATGCTGTCAACATTTACAAGGGGAAGCTCTACCCAACTGCTGTAGCAGCAAGGGAGGAGGTGCGGTTGTACTGTAGGCAGCAGACGTTTGCTCCCTATTTCCGCTATAATCGGTCGAATCTCATTGAGGTGTGGTGCAAGTCCATGGAGGGCAAGGTATGGCCTCGTGGGGAGGTGCATGTCGGAGAAGGGATGTGTCCATTTCGTGTTGTCATGCGCGGACCGCGCTACAGTAACCTGCGGGTCACGGTGGCTGATTTGGATCACGCTGATAGGTGTGTCACCGAAGCTGCAAGGATTCGGAGGGATGAGGTCAAAGAGGTTGCACGTGAGATGCTAAAGCATGGAGACGTGAGACCTCATGCGTTGATGAGTCGTGTTAGGGCGGTTTTACGTGTGGAGTGCTCGTACACGGTTGCTCGCGAGGTGCTTTTTGAGCTGAGGACTGCGGATCCGTTTTGTGGAGACGATGGGTTTCAATACATGGAGGACTTGTTAGATAAGTTCAAGGATGATAATCCTTCATCTGTCGTGTCCATGGTCAGACGGGGAAATAACTTCTACCGTGCGGGAATTATTTTTCCAGGGGCGAGAGATGCGGTCATGAACTGCCTGCCGATCATTTTCGCGGATGGATGTCATAATAAGACCGCATGGGGGGGATACACTATGAACATATGCATGTTGGATAGCCAACACAAACTTGTTATGTTGGGATGTGCATGGGTGGAGGGTGAAAACAAGCATGCATGTGCGTTCCTATTCAATCTCCTGCTGGAAGCCGTTCCGGAGGGGAACTCCTCTAATTTTGTCATGATGCATGATAGGGGAGGGGCATGGATATCCGCCACATCCACTTGTCTCCCCCTCATACGGGAGTCTTTTTGCATCACCCATTTGGTTCGAAACTTCAAAAATAAGTTCAGGACAGATCTGGACGGACGAATTCTAGCAGCAGCAGCAGCCCTGACACAGTTTGTGTATCTCAAGACAATGGAAAAGATTGAGATGGAGTGTCCTGGTGGATCCGCGTACCTCGTGGACAATGGATTGGTGTTAAGTGGGCGACAGCTTATTTTGGAGCACCGCGTTATGGATGCTTGTCTTCTAACCCCGTTGAGTCTCACCATGCATCGCTTTCGGGATTGCGGGATAAGAATCCGCCGCAGGTGCTGCTTGGCTTGGCGGAAAAGCTATCGACGAAGATCGAAAAGAGGCGCCGACTCTACTCCGAGATGACAACCGCGGACTTCCCTCCCAGGACAAAGCCAATAGTCCTTGGGAATCGCGATGAGAGGAGAAGATACAGGGTGGCTGAATCGGGAGAGAACGAGTACATAGTACGCGAAGGGGCGGAGAGGCGAGTCGTGACCCTAAACCCCGAGGATCCTGCAGCCACCCACTGCTCATGTGGCTACACCAAGTAAGTGGTGTTTAGGTTCTGTTTCTACCATTGCTAGCGTATGTTTCTCTAGTGCATACTTGATCCAACTAAACCATGAATATTGCGTTAATTAGATTTTACCATATCATGCAAGATCAACCCTCATGATCTACCCACTCTAAAATTCAGCCCCCATTTATCCCAAAAATAGAGGAATTCGGGGACAATAAAGTCGGCGTAACTTCCTGCTCATTTATGCCAACATCATGGATATTTGGAGCGGCCAAAGGGCCATGTAATCCTCGTTCCTGCTGCTATTATTATGTTTCCTACAACCTTTTGCCCATTTATCCCAACCTTATACCCTCTCTTACTTTATGGCCATGTATCCAAGCAGTAGGGGCATTCCCCATGAGATATGGGGAACATGGCGATACGCAATATCCTGTTTAGACAGAAAGTTTCAGTTGCCTATGACTCAATGAACCCTCCCTCTCCCTCCGACCCTCTACCTTGCCCATGCAGAGGAATTTGGTCGACAAAGTGTCGTGTGTGCATTTGCCTCCCGCAATCATGTTTGCTAAATGTGGGCTTTTTTTAAGCCATGTGTTCAATTGTGTTAAGAAATCTTGCTGGTTTTAGCTATTCAACGAAGAGTTTGTACTCTCTACTTTTACTCCTTACTCAGGTCTTCACTTCCCCAAACCCTTGGGAAGGCACGGTTTCTCATATTTGCTGGAATTATGATAGTTTTACTAATGCGTTAATCCCTTTCTACCTCTTCACACATTTATCCCGAAAACAGGGAATACGGGCTGCCATGCGTGCACATCTTCGCCGTGTTCAAAAATGATGGTCACAAGGCGCACGCAGTGATCCATAAATATCACACCACGGATGGACTGCAACAAGTGTACAGAACGCCGATTAAGCTCCTTGACCCAACCTCTGTGGTCCCTGATGGCGTTACCCTCCCCCCGTGCTACAAAAAGAAGGCAGGTCGGCCACCAAAGCGAAGAATGCGGTCCACAGGAGAGATGGACCCAATCAAGTTGCGCAAGTGTGGAAAGTGCAGTGAGTACGGTCATAATGCCCGAACATGCGAGGTCCGTGCAGCCAACAGAGTGTTGTGGGAGGCCTTGCAAACCCCCGCAGGGCAATTGTCGGTGCAAACAATGACGGACGCAGATGGTGCAGTGCATGTAGCCCTGTGCAACGCTTGCAACCGAACTCACCGCAGAGGGATTAGGTGTCAAGCCATGCGTAGACAAGGACAGCCGGGTGATGTGGAGGAGGAGTCGTGCAGCGAAGATGATGGGAGTTTCGGTTTGGGAGAAGGGATTGGTGAAGAGGATGAGGAGGGACGGGATGATCGCGATACCGTGACATATGGTGGGGCGCTGATCGAGGTGTTTGGAAGGGATCCCGGAATTGCCGGTGATGTTTGTCTTGATGAACTTACAACCACGAACTCAGACTTGCCCACTCAAACAGGCAATTCCGAGGCAACACGGATTGACATCACACAAGAGAGTCAGGCGGGACGAGTGTCTGATACTTCGGTGGCCGAGCGGGTGGAAGGGCTGAGGACTGCGGAGGACGTGGTTGCAGGGCGTATACGGCGGATGCAGGGATTACTCCTGCAGCGTGATGTGGCAAGACAGGCCAGAGAGGAACGTGCAACAACTGAAGGCACGGGCAGAGGCAGGGGGCGCCATGCAAGCACAGGGCAACGAGGAAGAGGGAGGGGGAGAGGGAGAGGGAGAGGCAGAGGCAGATATGGATCTCGATCTTCCACGGAACAGCGGGGTGGAGCTGAACGGATGGAACAAAATGGTGGGAGCGGATTGGAAGGGATGGGAGGTCAGCAAGGGTTGAGAGGGCAGCAGGGAAGGGGAAGACAGCCGGGGTTGGGAGGGCAGCAGGGGATGGGAGGGCTGCAGGGGGTGGCAAGGCAGCATGGGAGTAATCTGCAGCAAGGGGGGGAAGGACAGGCGGGTGTGGGGGGCCAGCATGGGATGGGAGGGCAGCATGGGATGGGAGGGCAGCAGGGAAGGGGAAGACAGCCGGGCTTGGGAGGGCAGCAGGGGATGGGAGGGCAGCAGGGGAGCGGAGGACAGGCGGGGTTGGGAGGGCAGCAGGGGATGGGAGGGCTGCAGGGGATGGCAAGGCAGCATGGGATGACACCACAGCAAGGGGGGGAAGGACAGGCGGGGTTGGGAGTGCAGCATGTGATGGGAGGGCAGCAGGGGATGGGAGAGCAGCAGGGGCTGACAGGGCAACTGGGGAGCGGAGGACAGTCGGTAATGCGAGGGCAGCAGGGGATGGGAGGGCTGCAGGGGATGGGAAGGCTGCAGGGGATGGGCAGGCAGCACGGGTTGACAGGGCAGCAGGGGAGCGCAGGACAGGCGGGGTTGGGAGGGCAGCAGGGACTGGGAGGGCTGCAGGATACAAGAGGCCAACTTGGGTCCCAAGAAGTGTATGAAGGGCATAATGGGTACGCTCAAGCCCTTAACCAACGATGGGGACGCGTGGGAATGCCAATGCACGGAAATGTTGCAGGCCTGGCGCATCGTTGGAGCCATGTGGGCATGCCATTGCAACAGGAGGTTGAGGGGTCGGTGCCTGGTATGCACAACAGGACGCCACGCCAACAGGGGGACAAGAACAGTAACAGCTCTGTGCAGTAGAACTTGTGGGCTGTGCAGAATCTTTTACTCATGGTTACTTGATTGACTTCAAGAGCGCATTGCAACTGGTTTGATCCCATGTCCTTTTTTTTACCGACCGTGGCTCTGCACTGTCTCAAAAATACTCCCATGCAAGCGTATGGTACCAATATTCAACAGTTGTGTTAAGCAGTATCATTTGCTCAACATCTAGTTACTTCTATTGTTAGTGTTGTTCAGTGTGTCCATTTTTTACAGGACGTGAGGCAGGAAGGTGAGCAAGGGAGTTGCTGAATGAATTACCTACCCTTAATCACGGCTCTGGTTAACAAGGAATGGCATGCACATACTTGTTGTGGCATATTGGAATGTTCTTAACAATACCGTAAAGTCATACAGGCATAACACTCCATCAGTAGGTTGCGGGGTTAATGCCTGGATTGCACAATACGGTAGATCTCATTCCCAACATGGACAGAACATGGACACTTGGGTCTATGGGTAATGCATGGTTACCGTAGTATGGTAAGTTGACCTCAAGGGTCATGAGCATTTTTCGTCACTTTGTCTCGAATCATGGTTGGGCAAGCATACCGTGACTTCAAATCGCGGTAGTTTCATGTGTGTTAAAGCTCAAGGCCCAAATTGCGCATGATTAGTAATCTTGCGCAAGGGCTTGCGCTGGTGGTTTGGGAGGTGAACAGAAAGTCGAGAAAGTTGGTTGACTTATTTCGCACAAACTCTCGCAAAACTTGCTGAGTCAGCAACTCTGGGCCAAACATTCTGTTTGGGGTCCGAGAGTCCCAAATTGAGGAAAACTGAAACATGAAGTTTGCGCAGTGGGTTTGGTTTCGACCAATCACATTCATTCGTACTAGTGTAACCCAACTTTCGCCAACTCACAGCACCCAAACAGCAGCTGAGCAAGATTAGTAATCTTGCCCAGCGCGGCCCGCAATTTGGACCTTGAGCTTTAAACTGCTCAAATTTGTCTTGCCATCCGTATCATAACCTTAAGTGTTGTTCTGTTTCCATACAATGACACCTCGTTATGGGGGTAGGTAGTGTGTGGGACAGTTGCACTTGCTACCGTACCTTTATGACTTTCCTTCATCCCTGCAAGGGCTGACATGGTACATACAGTAGTTGTGTCACTTTACATATGTATGTCCCATGGTCTTGGACGGAGCAGTTTTGCACATGTGCGATTGCTGAAAGCAAGGATGGTGTTTGATACGCATGTTTCAAATCCTGCTGTAATTACCAGGGGAAAATATGCCACAAGTAACAATCATGTGACCCCGTCACGTCAATGGTAAAAAAAAAAATGCGTACGGTAACTGTATCGGATATCGTGACGGGCTTGGTAAGTGGGGTCACGGAATCAGTCACTAGCAACAGCTAAAGAATCACGCGAATGGTAACACATGAAACTCCCGCCTGAAATTCCTGAAACCCGGCCGATTTCCCGCTCGCGCCAACTCGTGCGGAGAGGTTTGATGCACGCCTGTACCGTCGAGCCTCCAGCCCACCGTAACCACACCACGACCCGACGTGCTGTACACCCCCCTGCCTGATACGGTTCCAACCAAGTTACATACCCGCCACACCTCTCTAGCTCGCGCCACCATCCATACCCCACGCTACTAGCTATAGCTTTCGCCAGCGCGCTTCCTAGGCGCTCGTTCTAAGCACCTGACGTCTATCAACGGTGCGTGCCTAAGCCGGAAAGCCTTTTCCCATCCGTTCACGTTGAGTTTCTTGTTACTCGTAAAATGCTAATAACATACGTAAAAAAAATCGATCAGACCGCTGTCGCGATGCGCCCAGCGGCTGGCGCGCCGCTTCGCGCATCGCGCCTATCGGGCCCGATCGTCGCGCGATGCAGTGCGGCCACTTCGCCGCTCGACGCATCGAGACGATCAAAAGCAGCCGCCGCCGCGATGCGCATTGCGGCCAGCGTTTGGCCGCTCCGCGCATCGCGCCGACCGGGCCGCCGCCGTCGCGATGCGCAATGCGGCCAGCTTTTGGCCGCTCCGCGCATCGCGCCGACCAGGCCGCCGTCGTCGCAATGCGCAATGCGGCCACCCTGCTGGGCGCATCGCGACGATCCGCCAAGCCAAAAGCCCGCTGCTCAGCGCGTCACGCCTCTCTGTCCACCGCCGAGACCAGGGTGCCCGTGCACTCTCGTCTAGCCTCCCCTCTCGTGCTCCCTTCTCTCCTATCCATCTTTCTCTCGTGCTCCCTTGCATGCCGTGTGATCCCCGGCCAAAGCCGAATTTTATGGCAATTCCCTCTCTCGTGCTAGGCCAGAGCATTTCTTTTATGTTGTCTCGTGCCTGGCTGCTCTCTAGTCCCCTCTAGTTACGTTGAGTATCCTCTCCATTCCTCTCGCACACCCCCTCTCATACACACTCATCCCCTCTCCATCCATCTCGCACACCCCCTCTCATACACACTCATCCCCTCTCCATCCCTCTCGCACACCCCCTCTCAAACACACTCATCTCCTCTCATACAATGTCATCCCCTTTCATTCGCTTTCATCCCCATTCATCCCCTCTCATTCCGTCTCATACACTCTCATACACTCTCACCCCCTCTCCTACACTCTCATCCCCTTTCATCCCCTCACACACTCTCATTCCCTTTGATCCCCTCTCATTCACTCTCATTCACTCATATTCCCTCTCATTCCCATTCATCCACTCTCATTCCCTCTACTTCCCTCTCATTCCTTTTCATCCACTCTCATTCCCTCACATCCACTCTCATCCCCTTTCATCTCCTTTCATCCACTCTTCATTCCCTCTCATACACTCTCATACACTCTCATCCCCTATCATACACTCCCATTCACTCTCATACACTATCATCCCCTCTCATCCCTCACACACACTCCCATTCCCTCTCATCCCCTCTCATTCACTCTCATTCCCTCTCATTCCCTCTCTTTCCCTCTCATCCCTTCTCATCCCCTCTCATTCACTCTCATCCCCTCTCATACACTCTCACACACTCTCAACCACTCTCATCATCCCTTATCATACACTCGCATTCACTCTCATACGCTCTCATCCCCTCTCATGCCATGTCATTCCCTCTCATACCCTCTCGTACCCACTCATATACACTCATATACACTCTCATCCCCTCTTATACACTCCCATACACACTCATACACTCTCATACACTCTCATTCACACTCATCCCCTCGGATCCCCTCTCATCCCCTCTCATCCCCTCTCATCCCCTCTCATCCCCTCTCATCCCCTCTCATCCCCTCTCATACACTCTCACACACTCTCATACACTCTCTTACACACTCTCATCCCTCCTCATCCACTCTCATACACTCTCAACCCCTCTCATTCTCTCTCATACACTCACATACACTCTTATTCACTCTCAACCTCTCTCATCCACTGTCTGATACACTCTCATCCCCTCTCATACACACTCATACCCCCTAATCCGCTCTCATACACTCTCATACCCTTCCATCCACTATCATATCCACTCTCATCCCCTCTCATACTCTCCCATACACACTCATCCAATCTCATCCCTCTTCATACACTCTCGTACACTCTCATCCCCTCCCATCCCCTCTCATCCCCTCGTATGCACTCTCATACAGTCTCATCCCCTCTCATCCCCTCTCATCCCCTAGTATGCACTCTCATACTCTCTCATTCACTCTCATACCCTCCCATCCACTATCATATATTCTCTCATCCCCTCTCATACTCTCCCATACACATTCATCCAGTCTCATCCCTCCTCATACACTCTCAAACACTCTCATCCCCTCTCTTACACTCTCATACACACACATCCAATATCATCCCCTCTCATACACTCTCAACGCCTCTCATCCAATCTCACACACTATTATTCCCTCTCATCCCCTCTCATCCCCTCTCATACCCTTTTATGCACTCTCATTCACTCTCATTCACTCTCATACCCTCCCATCCACTATCATATACTCTCTCGTCCACTCTCATCCCCTCTCATCCACGCCTATCCTCATACATTCTAATTCAACCTCATCCCCTCATTCCCTCTCCCACACTCTCAGTCCCTCTCGTGCACCCTCATACACTCTCATTCCTTTTGATCCACGCCCATTCACTCTCATCCACTCATCATCTCTCTGGTCCTGATTCCCCGTTCCTATCATCCCCTCGCATTCCCTGTTATCCTCCCGTGCTCATTATCCATCAAAGCTCGTGGCACTTGTAATCAGCGTCATGTCTCACCCACTGCAAGCCAGGTGAGGTCTGGCATATAAATTTAGGGTTGTCATTTGCAGATCCTATACTCGTGGTTTACCTTGCGAGGCTACAGGCGCTCCATTGTTATGCCACATCTCACAAACAATTTGCAATGTGTTGTTGCAGGAACTCTATTTTGTTTGGTGTACTAGTTATGTCAATACGCAGGACTTCGACGTTTGCAACATATTCAAGGGGAAGGATTATCCATCTGCCGCAGCCGCAAGGGAGGATGTTCGGTTGTATTGTCGGCAAAATCTTATTCGGGAGTTCTACTATTATAGTCGCAAAAACCTTATCGATGTACGGTGCGACTCGATGCAGAATTTGAGTTGGCAGGGTGGAGAGGTAAGCAGCAAAGATGCGCCATGTCCCTTTCGCATTGTCATACAAGGGTCCAATATCGGTACCATGAAGGTCTCGCTAGCTAGTTTGAGGCATGACGTCCGATGTACGTCTGGTCCTAGGAGAGTTAGGAGGAAAGCAGTCGGAGTGATAACAAGGGAGACGGTAAATTACCATGACGATGACGGATCCACCAAGAGTGTCGGATATATAGGTGGGCGAGGAGAGGTGCGGGATGAGGAGTGCGAAGGTCAATGCTGCAAAACACATATGGAGGGTGCTGGAGAGCGGATGGCAAAAGGAGATGAGAAGACAGGAGCCGACTTTATGCATACACCTATAAATGTTATCTGAAGTGACGGTTAGAGGGTGGGTAAATTGGTGAGGGCGGCTGTG